CACTCTGACAAGGTTGACATGTTCCTCTTTTGTTTCAGTGAAGATAAGAATGTCATCCAAGTAAACAAGGATCCCCTTAAACAGGTGCTCCCTTAGAACACCATTGATTAATTGCATAAAGACTGCAGGGCCCCCTTGTAATCCAAATGGCAAGACTTTGAATTGATAGCACCCCATGGGGCAGTTAAATGTGCTCTTCCATTCGTCCCCTTCCTTAATTCTCATGCGATAGTAAGCTTCCCTTACGTCTAGTTTAGAAAAAATTTTCCCTTTCGAGAGGTGTGAGAGCATGTCTTTCATGAGGGGCAGAGGGTATAGGTTGCTTTCACTGATTGTATTCAGGGCCCTATAATCCACGCATAAGTGTAAAGAGCCATCCTTCTTCTCTCTAAAGAGGACCGGGGCAGCCACTTTAGGTTTTGCTGGCTCAATGAAACCTCTCTCTAGGTTTTTTTTTTATGAATCTTTCCATTTCCTCCTTCTCATTTGGGCTCATGGGGTATAATCTGGGCTTCAGGAGTTTTGCCCCAGGCTTGAATTCAATGGTACAGTCTGTGGGTCGGTGGGGGGGAGCTCATCTGCCCTCTCCTCACTGAAAATTTCAGCAAGGTCTCTGTATTCCTCTGGTATTTCTGGTAGTCCCTTTTCCTCTCCCATGGATGCTTTTTCTATTCTTGATTCTAGCCCCCGTTGGAATTTTAAGTCCATAGCGTCCCCCTTCGGGAATTTGATTTCTGTCATCCTCCAATTTACCCAGGGGTTCCATTTTTTTAACCATTCCATCCCTAGGATCATTGGACATTCCATGCCTGGGGTCACCACAAACGTTATGTCCTCCTCATGTTTGTCCAGGGAGAGGTAGCTGGCACCCCCCCTGCTATGGATCCATCTAACTGGCCAAATGAGATTAGTTTTTCCAGTCTCCTCGACGGAATGCCCAGATTCCCCACTAGTGTCGGGCTAATGAGGCAGCGGGTGCAGCCAGAGTTTATTAAGGCTTTCACCTTCACGGCTTTGGGTATGGGGGGAATTAATATAGTCACTGTCTTGAGGATGGGTGCGATGCGTCCACTTACCAGGGGTTCACTTTCCGAGCTGTCATCTGAGGTGTCCACCGGCCCTGCAGTGTAGGCTGGAGTTCTTTCCCCCTGATGAGCAGAGGTGGGGGGTTCCACAATTTCCATCATTCTTGTGGCAGTTTCTTTTGGCTTAGCTGAAGACTTTCCGGATTTGCTGATTGGGGATCTGTCTGGGTTGTGCTGGGGGCTTTGGAGCGGCATTCTACAGCTCAATGCCCTTCTCTTCTGCACTTGAAACACCCCATTTGCTTCTTGGCTGTAGCCAATGGTTTCACTGGTTCATGTGTCAACTCAGGTGGGGAGCGGCTCCATTGTTTTCCTCGGCAGTGTCTCTTCAATATGTCGATCTCTGCTTCCTCTGTCAAGATGTACCATTCCTCAAGTTGATGTGGGTCCCCTCGGGGCAGGCAAGCATCATATAGGTCCTAATTTAGTCCATTTTTGAAATGGCTAAGGAGGATGTCTTCTGGCCAGTTCAGTTTGCTGGCAATGGCCTGGAATTCTTGTGTATATTCAGCCACTGGGCACTTGCCTTGCCTCATCCTCTTTATCCTTTCACGGGTTTTGCGATCAGCCAGGGGGTCTTCAAATCGCCTTCTCAGAGAGGACATGAAAGGGTTGAAGTCCTTGAGCTCTGGGGCATTGGAGTTATGCAAGTTCACCACCCAATCTGCAGCTGGTCCGTCCAGGGCAGATTGCATGATCCAGATGTGGGCTTTATCACTGGGGATGTCCCACCCGTATTCCTCCATGTAGCTGAGGACTTGGGTTAGGAAAAACCCCAAGCGTGTTGGCTCCCCTTTGAATTTCACCTCCAACGGCGGACGTCTTGGAATGGATCGGTGCCTCCGTTGTGGGTGGTAGTGTCTTCTGTCCAGATCGACATCTGTGGTTCGGTAGGGGGTGGGGACTACTGGATTAGCAGATGTCCCCGGGGCTGCAGGTTCCACTTCCCCCTTGGTGTCTCTCCCTTTGCGGCTCCAGGAGCTGGGGCGGCCATAGGGCTCAGGATTCTCCTCTCCTAGGGAGCTGAGAGTTCTCTTCATCAGGTCAATAGCTTTCTCTAGGATCCAGTCTGAGTACGGTGCCCAGCTTTCTCCCTCTTCACTTGCGTGCAGGGATTTCTCCATCTCCTGCTTCCATTCTGGTTGCTTGGCTCCCCATCTCAGGGTCACCTTTTTTGATTCCTTTCCCCACTCACTTTTCTTTCCAATGCCCATTGACCAGCGAGGCTTGTGGTCCCGTGTCTCCACCACTTCTTCTCCTGAGGAATCTGACCTCTCGGCTCCCAACATCTGGCAAGGTTCCAGTTGGGGCAGCGGCTCTCTTTCCAGGGAGTTTTTCCCCTTTCTTGCTCCATTGTCTGACATGGCAATTTTTTGCAAAATCCCCCGGCAAGTGTCTCCCTTCCAGATGGATTAATTTTGCAAGTCCTGTCTAATGTAAGGACCCACCCCACTTTGAATCTTAAGAAGACAGAACTCTTGGAATAATTCTTCCCACAGGCATCCTTTATTAAAAGAAAATGGTTGGAGGTGTTCCAGACAGGACTTGGGGTCCAAGCTCTCCCATTCAAGGTTTTAAGGGGTTCCCCAGTAGCCCCACCCAATCACCCCCTTCTTCCAGCAACAGTCTCAGGCATTACATTCCCACCCCCTTTTCCTTACTGCCGGCTGGATGGAGACTTCAGAATAGAACTACATGAAAAGTAATAGCCCCATTCTTATGGTTAGTCCTTTTGGCGCTATCCACATTCAATCGCTTTGAAGTGTACTGAAGGAAGTGAGGGCCATAAAGCCCCTTTGTTCACTCCCTTCCCTTCACCGTATGACAGAATCCATAGAGGGCAGAAATGGGGTTTTCTATAGTTGATAACTAGAGATGAAATATAATTGGATTCTGACACTTGGTTTTCACACTAGTGTTATGTCTAACTAAACTCCCATGCACATTCCTCCTCTTCTCCCCCAGTATCATCTAATTCTAACTCTAATTCTAAGAGTAAAACATAAGAAGGAAAATGGCTGCATCTCCATATGTTGTCAAAGCAAGAACATCTGATGTTAGCATCGTTGACAGTTAATTTTAATTAAATACATTTAAATTATGTTTGTACTCTATTCTGACCAAGTTCTTGCTCTGGAGCTCTCACTTTGGAAATATGGCCTGTAGCATATCATTCAAATGGTGAAAGCTTCTGCTTATAGATCTTCAGATAGTTTACCCTGAAATAAAAAAAAATATTTGATCAAATGAAGGGCATTCATAAATATGTATGCTCAAGTTGATATATAATTAAAATGTTATTTTAAAAAGTAACATTCTAGAACACGGGTGTCAAACTTGCCACGTCATATTATGTATCGCGTCATATGGTGACCTTTTCCATTTTACTGGAGCTGGGGTGGGCGCATCCTCCGCATGATTCAACTGGCCTGTGGGCCGGCAGTTTGACACCCCTATTCTAAAATAATAAACTATATTTTAAGTAAAAATCAAGATCTCTAATTAAATTTAAATCAGAAGGAATGGTCTTCTATTCCATGGATAATACTACTATAAGATCCCATTTGGAAGTTGTTACATCTAAACTATATGGTATATCTAATCTATGCCATATATTTTAATGTAGAGGACTTGCATTTATTGACAGATCTGTGTATATACTCCCCATTTGGTTAAATGTAGGCAGCAGTGTGTGCACTTACAATATGGTCTGTACTTTAGAGAACTTTTGCACAAAACAGTATGTTTCCTTAGAATAAAAGTGGATTTAGTGATTGTGGCATGTTGGTCAAAATATTGATAAAATGTAAGCCGACTTACTCCTGTTCTGTCTCCCAAAGTCTAGAATAGCTTTCTAGGATTATTTTTTTTCAGTCTATTACTAAACTATTTTCACATCCAGCCATATCTGCCTTAATTAAGGGCATCTCAATATTCCAGCTGTATTTTTCAGTGTGTCCCATATTAGAAATAGGTTGGATTCTGATTTACTAGGTTTGACCTTAGTCCATAGGTCAAGAAATGATGTTGGATTTTAGAGGTTGCTTACTAGTGGGAAGAAGTGATAATAAATCAGTTTTAAAAAGTTGGTTGTGTTGCAGCGGAATTCCAAGATAGTGTTTGTATATTAGTGTTTGTATATTAAGGAAGGACTAATGAAGCTATAGTTAGTTTATGGTCAAGGATCAGAAACAGGAAACCCAGCTACTCCAAGATTAAATTACCTATAGGCATTTCCATCTCTGATAAATACAAGTGTTCCATTCTTTTGATAGATTATTCCCAAATACATAATTATCTGAGACTATAATTGGCCTAGTGAGTTTTGGAGAAGTTTGTTGTTTAGCTGTCTCAAGTGTTTACCATGGGATATTACTGCAAGCTAGTAGTCCAACTCCTTTTGTTTGTTCAAAGATCTAGTAAGTGAGTTTATATTGTAAGCTTGCAGGGTTGCTGATTTGGTAAGAAGGCAGCATAGAAATTTAATAAATAAAATAAATATAAATTTCAACTACAATAGGGGCTTCTGGATACAAACTGGTATAAAAAGAGCTTTAGAATAAGCTTTGGATGAAGATGTAATTTCACCCTAAGTAAGCATCTACTGCGGTCAGAAAAATATGTAATATGGTATTTTAAAATACTGAATAGATTTCATAATATTAATAATATGAACTTTACTGTTCATTAGACTGTGCACTTCTGTTGTGTTTTCCCTTGGTGCCATGAGAACTAGATTTTTTGTTAAAGTCATAAAATTCTTAATGAATTCTCAAATTTATTTGCATTTATTTGTTTCACTTGGAATTATAACTTTCCAGTAGACCAGTCTTCACACCACCATTGGTACTGTGTATATGTCAAAAATGTGAGATTGTGTCATGCAATCTAACAACATTTTGCATTTCTTTTCAGGATCTGTGAATCATGGTGTTCTTCCTGGATCATGTGAAAATAAGTATTGTGGCTTGGGTAGGCATTGTGTCATCAACAGAGAAACAGGACAAGCAGAATGTGCCTGCATGGAATATTGCAAGTCTCATTACAAGCCTGTTTGTGGTTCTGATGGTGAATTCTATGAAAACCACTGTGAAGTGCACCGGGCTGCCTGTCTGAAAAATGAGAAGATTACTATTGTCCACAATGAAGATTGCTTCTTCAAAGGCAAGTAGTATGGGATAATATCTTAAAGACAAAAGACATTATTTTATTTATTTATTAAATTTATTTGTCACCAGTCTTGTTTCAAAATCAGTTACCTATTTTGAAGTTAATTTAATTAAGGTTCTGGGAAATGTTGTAGTGTGTATTGTAAAGAAATGAGGAGAAAGTTTAATTTAACAAAGCTTTTTTACTGGGAGAAATCTTCTGGGTATGTTCAGTTTCCAACTATCTCTTTGGAAAAACGATGATTGCAGATAAATTGTATGCTTGATAGGATTGTTTGAACCAGGATCTTATGACCTCAATTTGGAGAGGTAGTCACTGTGATCAAGGCTGAATTATAAGAAATGCACCTTCATTCTCAGTGGAACAGTTTATATGTAGAAATTTGTTAAAACAGTTGAATGTTATGGCTATAGTGAATAAATGTCACAGATGCTCCTATTGTTCCTTTTAAATCATTTTTAAATATCCTTATTTCATTTTTATTTGCTCTTTTCTTTTTTTCCCTCTATTCTGATCCTGCCACTTATTTTTTTCTTATCATAATTTAAATGTGCTTATTGCAAAAATTGGTTGTATTATATTCTCTTTATATAGCATTGAAGGCTTTATAAAGCTACAAATTAAGAGTGAGGGAATTTGATAGTTTTACAGGCAGGGCTTTTTTTCTCATATAATGCCCAGAATAGCACCTTTTTGGATGGAACCTTGTAGGGTAAGCAAGGTGGGTTGTATGATGTGTGAGTTCCGACACTTTATATATATATATATATATATATATATATATATAAAGCACTGTTTTCAGGACATAAGAAAACTTCATTGGAACAAGGAGGAATCCATACAAAAATTGTTACATATGGAGGCATTCTTGCACTAATTGTTCTGTTAATACAGATTTTGCTCTGATTAGCCAGTGAAGACAGTAATAAATTAACAAATAATATGCTGAATTCTGATTGTTATCCAATCTACTAAATCATAGGTCGCAAACCACAAATACCACATACAAACTAATTCATTAGCCTTGGGGCCTTAGTTTTAAAACCTTTTAATCATTGATATTAAAGCTTCTAGTGAGTAAAAAATAAAGAAAATCTCAATATGCTATTAGACATTAAAATATATTTATTTCTTAAACAAGGAATTGTAAAGCAGAGCTGTTTTATTTTGCCCACTTAACTGGAAGCATTTTTCATTAATCAGAAATATCTGGGATTATTACTGAGTTATTATTTTATTTTTATCCAAATTCATCATTTCCAAAATATTGTTGCAGGCCACAGTAATGACTTGAATGGCTGCATACAGCCTTTTAGATGTGAGTTTGAAACTCATGAATTAAAGGAAAGGTCAGTACTGAATTGTTTGTTGGGAAGACAGCTGGTTGCATAAGAATGAGATGTATTTCTGAGACCTAATTTAGATGTAACTTTAACAACATAGTTGCTATTGCTCAGTATTTGATTATATCATTAAAACTGCATGAGCATATTATACAGGATTGTATCTGCACTACTGATGCTAATTCATATTCATGAAATCCAAGCAATAGATGTGATACAAAGCTTTGGATAATAATGACTTACATTTAGACATCAAACAATATTTTTCTCCTTACATCCTTAGGAATAATAAGAAATCCATCTCTTTTTTATCTATATGTTAAGATGCCCTTTCAGGAGGAATGTAGAATTACTGAAAAGGCACAATTAACATTTCTGCATAATCACAGATGCTTTTCTCATCTGTGGCCTGGTTATCATTTTAAAAAATCCTGCAAGAATCATAGATGCCTTTCTGACTATCTGTTCCCAGTTAAGACTTCCCATTGAATAAGAGCTGGCAAAAAGATTTATTAGGACATCTTTCCAAAAAGAACATATATAGGAATCATAACTGGACAACTTTGTCCCAGTTATTTCCAAAGAACTTTAAAGACTTTGGTCTACAGGAAAGCAAAGAAGATAATGGATAATAGAAGATAATGATGAAGATGGGAACTAGCAGAGCTGACAAAATTAACCTAATTGGTTAGAGAAAATCAACAACTAGATTAGTGATTGGAAACCTCTTATTGCATTTTTGCAGAAAGAAATGAACTGGTGATTTATATATTTGATTATTAGAAATGTAGATTATGGCAAGAAGGAAATTGTGATGTAATGTAAGAGTAAGTAAAATATAAATAAGTTTATAACTGCTTTTAAGAAAATTGGAAACCACTTCTCTATTGTTTTTTTTCTTTTTTCCTTTCCTTTCTTCCTTTCTTATTTCTTATTACTTTTTTATTATTTTCTAATTTAGCATCTGCTGTTATTTGAAAACTTCTTCAATAAAAATATTTTTTAAAAAAATCATCAGAGGTAATAATAGCAAAAGACAACTAACTTTTTTCCTAGATTATGGTGGCTTTAATTTTTAATATTTTTAAGTATTCTGCTTAAACAGAATAGAAGCAGAAGCAAATAAAGAATAATAAATTAATAGAAAGTTTTGTAAATGCTATTAATAGGCATTATTTAGATCTATGAGTTTATCAGATATTGTGGCAATTTGTTGATTTATTATTGTGCCAATATGTTGATTTATTATTAATTATTTCCAAAGTTTCTTCAGTTTTTCTAGTGCTAAGCCAATATTTCTTATAAGACTTGTCTTGATCCTTATATTCTTCTGTTTTTGTTCTTTCATGTTTTTTAAATTACTCACATCTGGTTTTAATTCCTTTATCTTGGCCTTTAATCTCTTCTTACAATTCAGGATTGAATATGACTTTGCTTTTGGCTTTCTAACTTTGATACCGTGTTGTTTGTAACCAGTATTCCTATACTGTAGGCAAATGATTGGTCTGTCTGATAGATGTAATTATAGATCTCAGCCCCACAAAATAGATTTTAATAAAAAACAAAACACACATATAAGTACTTATTTTATTTGTGATGGCTATAGTAACCTGAAAATTTTCATGTGTTGTCCTTTCCTCCCCATATCTTTTTGTGAACCTGAGAAGGCTTGTCTGAAATTTCATTCATTAAATGGGTTTAAATCCCATTTAGCTTTGTGCTTGTAGCAGTTCTTCCCCCAATTCTTCAAGGTCATTCCTATTCCCTATATAATTCCTTAACAATAGTAATTGTTCAGTGTTCATTTAGAAAAAAAAGTTACAACTTGTATTGTTCAAATTGTTCATCTTCAAATATATTTAAAGTTTTTGAAACATTGGATTAATAATAAGGATATAATACATACAATAATTAGGATAAATACATAAAAGGTATCTTTGAACACATGCTGTGGATCATGTGTTCAAGCCAATTATTCAAGTATATTGGTTTTAGAATTTCTGGGGTTTCCAGTTGTGGCAACAGACATGGCAGGAATAATTTTACAAGTATTTTTGCACTAACCTGTCACATAAGGTCAACCTGAATAATGAAGCAAATAAAAGGAAATCAAAAGTGTGCCCAGGTTCTGCTCTGTAAGGGTCTCATCTTGAATCTTGCTCTTTATATAATCTTTCCTACATTATATCTTGCAATCCCATATTTAGGAATAAAGCAGTGATTGTATCTCTCTTCCTTCTCCTTTGTAAAGTGCACAATGTATTTGAGGGAGGAGAAAAGATGATTAATTGCTTCCTTGTCTGTTTCTAACTTGATTTTTTTCCCTGTGCAATTTTGGCTCAATGACAGAGTTATTGGACTGTACTCCTCTTGATAAGGGAAGGATTGCCCAATTAATATAGACTGTGATTTGTATTTCCAGAGGAAAAAAATCATATTGCTTTTGTTTTTCTGGCTTATAGAACAATATAAACAATTAATCTAACTTGCAGAAAATCTTAAATCAGTTACTCTCATACCACATTGTATTGTTGAATGAATTCCAAATGTATTTTAAAGAATAAAAAAATTAAAAGAATAAATTTTGCCAACTCTATAATCTTGACCTTCTGAGCTATTTTTGAGAACTTTGCTCTATTTTTGAGGAATTTGCCTTTAAATTGCTCTTGGTGAGTTGAAGAGTTGCATAAAAGCACTGATTCACAGAAAGTACTTATCATTTACCTTATATACTTCTCTTTTTAATAACATTTTATTAAAAGTTTTAAGTACAACAATAAAAGATAATATAAACATAGAAAAAGGAAAATAAAGAGAATAAAAAGTGCACGAAAGCCAAGCAGAAAGAAAAAAATAGAGAGAACAGAAAAAGAAAGCAACATCTCATCTTCATTGCGACGAGTATACACTATCTCTTCAGCTCCTCTTAATTAAAAATATAAAACTTTTCATCCCATAACTCAATGCTTAACTATAGGTGACATCTTTTCCAATCCCGGTATCAGCAAAATGTCCAAACAGACCTCTAAAATAATGACATTTTTTCGCAAATATGGAACTCACCATTCATATCTCAACTCTTATCAGTAAGTAAATGAACCTAAATGTACCTAAATTCTTAGCTATATATAGTCTTAACTTGCAACCACAAATAGGACTCAAGCTTCTCTTGTTAAGTAATTCTATTGTTAAGTGAGTCAAGCCCAATTTCATGTTGTTGTTTTTTGCCAATGTCATTAAGTGAATTACTGTAATTGTTAAGCAAGTTAAGATTCCTCATTGACTTTCCTTCTCAGAAGACCCCTGGGAAGATTGCAAATGGTAATTGTTCTGTTCTGTGCATTGGTAAGGCATTGAGACGAGGCAGACAAACAACAGATGCTTCTTTATTGAATCTCCAACAGAACCAAAACAAAATGGCGTGGATTCCTTTATATACCCATCAGATTCTCCCGCCTTGCCCATATGCAATAGGCTGGAGACAGCCTGTGTGGTCCCGGGCAACCACATAGTCTGCCCGGGGCTCTCTGCAGCTTCCTGCACCTGCTCAGTCACTCAGCAGGCCCAGAACAGTACATTGATGATGTGACTCTGAGATATTGCAACCTTCATAAACACATGCTGATTGCTAAGGGCCTGAATCATGGTTAC